TTAAACCCCACTGTTTTTTTTCTGATTTGAGGACAATTTTTGCCTCTCCATCCATAAGTTATGATACTGCAGACCAGCAGCAGGTAAAATGATTTGAAAAGTAAAAATAGATCAAAAAAAAAAAGCAGCATTTAGAACTTGACAAGTCGAATATTATTTTTATTAAACATCAAGTCCTTACCGCTGCAAATTTAATCAGCACTTTACAAACAGATAGAAAAGAGTTCCCTGCCCTGAAGGCTCACAGGCTGAGTTTAAGAAAATATATAAAATATATAAAATATCGGAACAGTTTAACCAGAACCCACAGAAAACCACTGGGGATCTGATTAGTTTATCCACTTACTGGACAGACCCAAACTGCCTGTCAGGACATGGCAGCAACTGGCCACCCAACCCTGAGATTTGGTATAAATACATGTGTTTGTCTCTGAAATTCAGGAGAGATGGGCTGGAATAGGGAAATGGTGACTCACTGTGCGTCATCTGGGGTATCAAAGGCAGCTTCAAGTGACAAAAGGTGACACTCTCTGTCCTCACAGGTTTGATTTGGGGAAAATAATGGTCAAGTGCAGCAAGAGGGGCTCACCCCACACAGACCTTCTCCAGAGCCATGGGATCCAAGACCTCGGCAGCACTGGGATCGCTGTCCCCGAGGGGATGAGCCAGCCAGCTGCACACTCCCCTTGGAAGACACTTTGGGAGCAGCAAGGGGCAGGACCCAATTAGGGAAGGGACTAAAGCCCAATTAGCGATGAGGAAAACAAGCAGTGGGTTTAGAACAGGTCGAGCAGCAACGTCATCCCCGTGTTTGGGATGTCTCAAACCCTGGGAATTCTAATGGTTTGGGATCTGGTGAAAGCTGATGCCCAGGAACAAAACCCACCCGTATCCCAAGCTCCCAGAAGCGGGAGATGAAGGCAGTCGTGAAGTACAAACCCAAGTGTGAATGGAGAGGCAATTCTCCCCACCCAAGTGGCTGGGAAACCAAACAAGAGGTTTCCTGGCTCGGTTGCACTGGGAACACCACAGAGGTGGCGATGCCACCACAGGGGTGCTCAGAGGTGACAAGACCAGAGCAAATTCCCCTCAGTTACTGCAGTGCAAATCCAGAGGCTCCAGCGGAGCGTGTCCTGGTCCACATCAGAACAACCCCAAGCAGAACGTGGCCTTGTCACCCTCATTCACAGCAAAGTGAATCCGATTTCAAGCATAAAACCACCCAAAGGTCAAGGATGAAAACTGCAAACAGAGAGCCATGTGTGAGGGCAAAATCATCAAACAGAGCCAATAAGGTTGGCAAAGACCTCTTGGACCATGGAGTCCAACCATTCCCCAGCACTGCCGAGGCCACCACTAACCCATGTCCCCAAGTGCCACACCAACATGGCTTTGAAATCCCTCCAGGGATTGGGACTCCACCCCTGACCTGAGCACCTCTGCCAGGGCAGAGCCCTTTTCAGGGAGAAATTGTCCCAATTTCCAACCCAAACCTCCTCTGGCACAACTCGAGGCTGTTTCATCCAAGCAGGGATCAGCCTCCTGGAGTGTCCCTCCCCACTGTGCAGTGACTGACAGTGGAGAGGTGACAACACGACACAAGGGGCTTCAGAAAAAACATCCAAGATTTAGCCACAGCAAGGAAAACGCCATCAAAACCATTATTATTGGGAATAACAGAGCCAACCCAGCTCACTGGTGACTTCCCTAAGCAGCTCCACTGCTCTGGAGCACAGCTCTCCTGAGGGTGCAGCCACCAAACAGGAGAAATCCCAGGAGAAGAGCAGGTGTGCTCTGGAGGGCACAGGACAGGAGCCAGAGGGAGTGGAGCCTTCTGGGCTCACACACATCCAACAGAAATCCTTCCCTGGGAGGGTGGGGAGGCCCTGGCACAGGTTGCCCAGGGAAGCTGTGGCTGCCCCATCCCTGGAAGTGTCCAAGGCCAGGTCGGAGCAACCTGGGATAGTGGAAGGTGTCCCTACCCAAGGCAGGGGGTGGAACTGGATGATCCTTAAGGTCCCTTCCAGCCCAAACCATTCCATGACTCTGCCACAGCAGTTTGTCCCGCTTGTCTGAAGGCTCATTCCTGGATTCCTTCAGCTCCTGCTGTGCTCCACTCACCAGGCACAGCCCTGTGCTGTGTCCCCCTCTCTGTCTCCCCTTTCCCAGGCTGCATTCCGTCTCTCCCAGTATGGAAGTTCTCCCCTCTCTGCTCTGGACCAGATCCCTGACAGCCACATTCCTTTCCAACCTGGCCTTGGACACTTCCAGGGATCCAGGGGCAGCCCCAGCTTCTCTGGGCAACCTGTGCCAGGGCCTCCCCACCCTCACAGCCAAGAATTCCTTCCTGATCTCTAATCCTAAAAATCAAACCTGTTACATTTTCTCTCAGTTACTTCCCCTGAACCTGCTTCTCCTGGGATCTGAGAAGTTCCCTCCAAGCAAACCAGGACCATCCCTTGTGACAGCCTCTGCCTGGTGACAGCACCACACGACCCTCATACCCCGGGATTGAAGCTTTAACTCGTCTCTTGCCTGTATCTGGATCTTCTGGGATCTCTCTGGAAGCCACCTCGTCCTCACTGCAGGGCACTTCCCCTCCCTGGAGCCGGGACAGGAGGGCAGGTTCAGACATGGCATCGTCTGACAAGGAACAGAGACAGGAATGTTTCTGTGCTGCATCCACAGGGAGGAACACACTCCTGGAACCAGATCCCTTGGCTACAACACCCGGGCTGGCAGCACGAAGAGCCCTTTGTGTGGCTCACCAGGAGACAGTGGCTTCCATGCCGGCAGCCAGCCCTACTCCAACCGGGAAGGACCCCGTGGGCCGAGGGAAGGGGCCTGTGCTGGCACCGGGCACGCAGGTGACCGATGGGACAGGGTGGGACACACACCGGCCTCTCCGTGTTCCCACAGATCTGCTTCCCAGGTGTGGGAAAGCCTCCCCAAACCCAGCCAGTCTGGAAGTGCCGATAACTGACGGGAGCAGCGACACTCACCCGGCAGGACCAGGGTTTGGCTCTTCCCTGCCAGCACCTTCCTGCACAGCTCCCTCTGCCACTCCTCCAGGTTCTCCCACTCCTGAGCTGAAAAGCCGGTGGTGTCATTTTCCAACACCAGGGTCGGGGCCTGCAATCCCAAAAGCCACACGCTCAGCACTGCGCCTGGAACACCGAGAATCCTCCTTCCTATTCATCCCAGCCACCAGGCATCAGGGAAAGAAAATTCCTGCCTTGGGGAATCCCCCGGCCACAGAGAGTAACGGCTCTTTGCTAATCCTTGGGGGCTCAATTGGGAATTCCACAATATTCTTACTTCCCCCTGTGTGGAGTCTGGTCCTACTGGGAATCTCAGAGTTGGGAAGAACCTCCCGTTTTTGGTGGAAACATGTCAACCCGCCCTTTTGTAGGGAAAACCAGCCCAATGCAACAATACACAGGAGCGATTGCTCCCTGCTTGGAGCCTCTGCATCCCGGCAGGATCCGTGGAATGACTTCCACGGGGGAAGGCTGCCGGGCAGACCCGAGGAGCAGAGCAGGGCGTGTGTCCCCCAGACCCCTTAGAGACCCTTCTGTTACCTTGGGGACCTCCCCGCCCGGGGGCAGCCGCAGCACCCAGAAGTTCCTGTTCTTCAGCAGGTTCTCCATGTTCTCCAGGCGCCGCTGGAGCTGCCCGTACTCCCGGACGAGGTTGCCCAGCGCCGTCCACTTGCTCTCCAGCTGGTTCCCCAGCTCTCCCATCACTTTCTCGTGTTCCAGGTCCTTCTTCTCGGCGTTCCCGGCGCGGTGCTCCAGGCTGAGCAGGCGGGACGCGTGTGCGGCCACGCTCCGCTCCAGCGCCTGCACGGCCCCCACCACGGTCCACAGCGAGATGCTGCCGCCGTCCAACAGCTCCATCCCCGCCCCGGCACGGACGGAGCCCCGGGAGAGGCTGCGGCACCGGAGCTGGGGGAAGGAGGGAGCGGCTCGGCCGCCGCACAACGGGGCCGCTCCGGTGCGACCCGGCCCGGCCCTCCCGCACCGGACCCGGGGCCCGCCCTTCCCCGCCGGTGCCCCGCCGTCCCGCACCGCCGTCCCGCACCGCCGTCTTCTCTTGCCGCCAACAAGCGCCGCTTCCGCTTCCTCCTCCTCTTCCTCCCCCGCATCCTCCTCCTCTTCCTCCACCGCCACAGCGGCCCCCGCCGGCCGGAGCCCCGCGGTGATCGACAGCTGTCAGTCACCGAGACGGGGCTGAGCGCGGGGGCAGCAACCCCGCCGGGGGTTCCGCTGCAGCGGCGCTTCCCCAGGGGATCCCAGGAGGGGTCTGACCAGGAGGGACCACAGTGGGGCATCTGGTGCCACCTCCCTGCCCCAGCAAGGGCCATCCCAGAGCACATGGCACAGGATCGTGTCCTGATGGTTCTGGAATATCCCCAGGGAGGAGACTCCACCCCCTGCCTGGACAATCTGTTCAGTGCTCGGTCACCGCACAGGAACAAGTTCTTCCTCGTGTCCAGGTGGAACTTCCCGGGCATCAGTTCCTGCCCGTTCCTGCTGTGCCATTGCTGGGCCCCCCCCGAGCAGAGCCTGGTCCATCCTGTGCCCCCTCCCTGCAGCCCCTGACAGACACTGGGGAGGTCCCCTCTCAGTGTCCCCTCTGGAGGCTGAACAGCCCCAGCTCCCTCAGCCTGTCCCGGTCACAGAGATGCTCCATCCCTTCAGCACCTCCACAGGAGAATTATTTTCCAGGAGCTCCATGTCCCTCTTGTCCCGAGGAGCCCAGACCCATGCCACTGATCCCAACCCTTTGGAATCTGCCACTCAGCCAGTTCCCGATCCGCCCCACTGCCCATTCAAGCAAGGAGCATCCCTCGAGCTGGATGTTGTGCGGGTCCCCCGGGAGCCACTTGGCCACTTCGGAGGGACCCCGGGACCCCGCCCCGGACCCTCCCGGGCTCCGCCTCCGGGGAGTGTCCCGAGCCGGGCCCTCCCGCAGAGAGCAGCGCGGGGCCATGGCGGAGCTCCGGGAGCGCCTCGAGGCGCTCGAGCGAAGGATGGAGCGGGCGGAGGCGGCGCTGCGGAATCGAATCCCCCCGGCCCTGCGGCTCCGCACGGTGAGAACCGGGATGGAGGGGCCGGGGGCACCCCGAGAGGGGCCGGGGGGACGCGACTGTGGGGCTGGGGGCGCTTAGGGGGGTGGTGCGGGGCGAGGAGGGTTGGGAATGGGTCGGAGGGGTCACTTATGGGACCATTGTGGGGGCTGGAGGTGAGCTGGGGGGAACTTTGAGAGGTGATGGAGGTCGAGGAGTGCTGGAATTGGGTCGGGAGGGCACTTAGGGGGCTGATGTGGGGCTGGGGGGGGCTGGGGGTGAGCTGGGGGGCGCTTAGGGGATGGTGGGGGACGAGGAGGACTGGGATTGCGCCGGGGGGGTCACTTATGGGGTTATTGTGGGGCTGAAGGGTTGCTTGGGTGGTGGGAGTGGGCCGGGGGGCACTTAGGGGATGGTGGGAAGTTGAAGGGGAGCCTCGGGGAGGAGGCCGTGGGGCTGTTTAGGGTTTGGGAGCGGCTTGGGAGGCTCCTTAGGGGACTGAGGTGGCTCTTAGGAGACTGAGGGTGAATCTGGGGGGCTGCCTACGGGGCTGGGGGCTGGTTGGGCGTCTCCTGAGGGGGCTGCGGTGGGTTTCAGGAGACCGGGGGTGAATCCCGTGGGCTGCTGGGAGGTGGGATCTTTATGGGGATGGGAATAAGCACGGGGCATTCCTTAGGGGGTCTTTTGAGGGGCTGCTTTTGGGGCTGTTGAAGGTCTGAGGGGGGTGTCCGGGGGTCTGGGAGCTGCCCTCTCCCACATGCCAGCCCTGCCGCAGGTGCCGGTGCGGTTCGAGGAGGTGGCGCTGCAGTTCAGCCCGCGGGAGTGGGACACCCTGGACGAGGGACAGCGGGAGCTCTACCGGAGCGTCATGGAAGGCAACTACGAGATGCTGGTGTCCCTGTGTAGGCTGTGCTTGCCCCGGGGAGCTCTCTCGGGGTCGCTTTTCTGCCTCTTTGCCTTTCACTGGGATCTCTCCAGCTCTCAAATGATCCTCTCCATTCCCTGTCCCCTCCGGCAGCGGTTGGAGCTTGGCAGGGATGCGCAGGAAGGGTTAGTAAGTGCTCGGTGCCTTTTCCTCGTGGAGAACAGGGCCGCTGAACCCCCTGGGTTGAAATTCCCTCTTTTCAGCCCAGGAATTCACTCTTCTGTGTTCATCCAGATCCTTGTGTGGTAGTGAGACAGGCTGTGGAGCTGCAGGAGGCGTAGACTCACAGAATCATGGAATTGCTGAGGTTGGAAAAGGCCTCTGAGATCATTAAGTCCAGCCGTTCCCTCAGAACTGCCAAGGCCACCACTGACCCAAGTCCCCAAGTGCCACATCCACGTGGCTTTTAAATCCCTTCAGGGATGGGGAGGGCAGGCTGTACCTGGGCTGGACAGCCCTTCCCAGGAAGGAATTTTCCCAATATCCAACTTGAACTTCCCACTGAGGTTGTTTCCTCTCATCCTGCTCATCCTGTCCCTTGTTCCCTGGGAGCAGAACCCGACCCCCCCCCCGGCTCCCCCCTTCTGTCAGGGGGTTGCAGAGCCAGAAGGTCCCCCCTGAGCCTCCTTTTCTCCAGGCTGAGCCCCCCCAGCTCCCTCAGCTGCTCCTGCTGCTCCAGCCCCTTCCCAGCTCCCTTCTCTTCCCTGCACACGCTCCAGCCCCTCCATGTCCTGTACTGGAGTCCCCAGAACTGCCCCCAGGATTGGAGGTGGTGCCTCAGCAGTGCCAGCACAGGGATGGGAACTGCTTGGTGCTCCTGATCAAACGTCCAGTCAGGAGCCTCAACAATTCCCTTCCCGTTTTTTGGGGTATTTTCCTATCTGTGAGGTAAATTTCTGGGATAATGAGGGATTCTGATGCAGGGATGGATCAAGGACGGATTTTCTTGCAGTTGTTCCTGAGGGGCTGTCCCAGGCTGCTTTCCATATTCCTCTGTGAGCTCTGCCTGCTGTTTCCTGTCTGTGTCCGTAACTCCTGTCACTGTCCCACTTGGAGAAGTTTCCTGGGCTGGGTCTGGCTCTGTGTTGCCCAGCTGTGGGTGCACCCACAGAGTCCCTGTCCCATCGTGTCCCTGATGTCTGTCCTGCTCTTGCCCAGACTGTGCCCTGTCCAAGCCTCATCTGCTAGTCTGGCTGGAAAGAGGAGAAGAGCCGAGCACGATGATGGAATCAGAGCCAGAGGCAGCGGATGTGTCCCCAGAGCCGGCTGTAGGTGTGTGACACTGGGGTTTTTCCATGCCAGGAGCTCCTGGCTGCTCACCAGGACCATGGTTGTCCCTGCCCTCAGCCCCAGGGACTCAGAATCCCAGAATCCCAGACTGGTTTGGGTTGGAAGAGACCTTAAAGCTCATCTTGTTCCAACCCCATGCCATGGGCTGGGACACTTTCCATAGACCAGGTTGCTCCAAGCCCCGTCCAACCTGGCCTTGGACACTCCCAGGGATGGGGAGGTGTCCTGTGATGGCTGTGACAGCCTGTGCTGGGAGAGGTCACGGGGAACACACGCTGGGACACATGGATAGCTTGGAACCCCCCTGCCCCAGCAGCAGCTGCGTGTGAGGGATCTGACGGCCTGTGGGATGGGATCCTGTGCTGGCTCATCAGAGCTCCCCACTGACTCCTGGGGAATCCAAGTGTCCTTGTCCTCCACAGAGCTGGGCCGCCCGAGCTGCTCCAGAGGTGATGGGATGCTGGGGGCAAAGACAACAGAGCCTGGTGAGGGGAGCTGCAGGGAGCCAGAGGAGAGCGGGAACCTGGTGGAGGAAAGCGGGAACTTGGTAGAGGAAAGTGGAAACCTGGCAAAGGAAGGTGGGAAGCCATCAGAGGAAAGTGGGAAGCCATCAGAGGAAAGCGGGAAGCCATCAGAGGAAAGCGGGAAGCCGGCAGAGGAAAGTGGGAGCCCAGCAGTCCCGGAGAACTGCAGCACACGTGAGTGCCTGGCAAACCCCACTGCTGCTGCGAGGGGTCCTGGACCCCTGCCCAGCTGTTTCTTACCCACCTTCATTGCTCCTCCTGCCCTCACAGCCCCCATCCCTCTGGAAGCTGCTGTCCCAGGGGATCTCAGCCAGCCATCCCCGGCCCCTTCCCATCTGCTCTCTGCCTGCTGTTGGGAAGCAGCGGATCAGAACCAGTCTCCATCACCTCCCACTGCAGCAGGTACTGGGGCAGAACCTTTATCCCTCCTTGGGACTTTCTTCAGGCCTGGGGCTTCCAGGAAAGGGCTCTGGCAGCAAATCCTGTTGCCAGCCTTGAAACCCTTTAGGATGGGGCACAGCCTGCCTGGACAAGCCCTTTTGTGGCTTCAGACTTCCTTGTCCTACCTGGGTGGTGTTTGCCACCTCAAACTACCCCTGGGTTATCTGCAGAGGTGAGCTATGGCTGTTCCTGGCTTTTGCACAGTGCAGGGATTGGGCTGGAAGAGGAGAGCAGGGCTGGGATTTGTGCTGGCCGCTGGCTGGGAATGGGTTGGGAAGTGAGGGAGGGTGGGAGCAAAGCTTTTTGCTGTTCATGCCTCAAAACCATGTGGAAAAGTGATGTTTGGGCTGTGACAAATTCCCAGCAGACACCGAGGTGGGGATCCCAATGGAGGTGCCACAGGAGGAGGTCACTGCGGAGAAGCCGATAGTGCCTGGAACATCCTCAGAGGGTCCGGAAGAGGAGAAGGGTCTGGAACAGGAAGATGTGAAAGATTCAGGGAATGTTGGCCAAGGTCCAGCGGCTGACGTTCCCAAAGGACCAGGAAAGGTAGATTCTGGCCCAGAAAAGCCGGAGAAGGGCTCCTGTGTGGGCCGGCCGGCGGGCTGCCAGCGAAATGCCACCCGGGAATTCTACTCCTGCCCCATCTGCAGCAAACGCTTCCTGCTGAAGATCAACTTCCTGATCCACCAGTGCAGCCACAGCAGCTCGGTGCCCTACGTCTGTGTGCACTGCGACTGCAAGTTCATGTCCAAGAAGAAAATCAGGCGGCACCTCCGGGCCTGGGCGGCCAGCGGGACGTGCCAGCCCTCGGAGCCGGAGCCACGTCCCAGCCGGACACCGTGTCCGACCTCCCAGCCCCAAACACAGGTGGCCAATGGGACATGCCAGCCCCCGGATGCTCAGGTGTGTCCCAGGCAGGTGCCGTGCCCGACGTCCCAGCCCCAGGCCTTGGTGCCCTACGGGACCAGCCAGCCCTCGGAGCCAGGGGTGTGTCCCAGCCAGGTGCTGTGCCCGACATCCCAGCCCCAAATATGTGTGGCCAGTGGGACCTGCCAGGGCTCAAAGCCAGAGGAGTGTCCCAGCTGGACACCGTGCCCAACGTCCCAGCCCCAAACCTGGGCAGCCAACAGGACCTGCCACCCCTCAACGCCAGAGGCGCATCCCAACCAGGTGCTGTGCCCAACATCCCAGCCCCAAACCTGGGCAGCCAACGGGCTGTGCCAGCCCTCGGAGCCAGAGGTGTGTCCCAATCAGACACCGTGCCCACCATCCCAGCCCCAAGCCTGGGTGGCCAACGGGACCTTCCAGGCCTCAAAGCCGGAGGCGTGTCCCAGTCACACACCCTGGCCAACATCCAAGCCCCAAACCTGGGCAGCCAGTGGGATCTGCCAACCCCCGAATCAGCCAGAGGTGTGTCCCAGTCAGACACCGTGCCCGGCCTCCCAGCCTCAAGCCCTGAGCAGGGACCGTGGCACGGTGTGGGAGAAGCCCAGCCCTGCCAAGTGCCCGCTGTCCCCTGGGAAAATGCTGTACACGTGCAGCGAGTGCCTGGAGAACTTCTCCAGCCAGAGCTTTCTGACGGTGCACCAGCGCCAGCACTCCGGCCGCCACCTCATCCTGTGCCCCTGCTGCAACTGGAGCTTCACCTGCATCTCCGACTTCGTCCGGCAGCACTGGGCACACGGCGGTGTCCGGCCCCACCAGTGCGGGATCTGCCAGAAGACCTTCAAGAGGCTCTACCACCTCAAGGTGCACCGCAGGACCCACATGCGGCAGAACCGGCCGCTCCCCCGCGCCGACCCGGTGCCCATCCCGGCGGGAACCGTGCCAGGAGACGGGGTGGGAAGCCAGGGTGTGACCTCCAAGGGGTGCTGTGCTGCTGCTGGACCTTGAGGGGTCCTCCCGGGAGTGGGGGGCTGCTCTTGGACCTCAGGGTGTACTCTCAGGGATGGGAAGCTGCTGTGGGACCTTGAGGTGTCCTCTCAGGGATGGGAAGCTGCTGTGGGACCTTGAGGTGTCCTCTCAGGGATGTAATGTTGCTGATGGACTTTGAAGTGTCCTTTCAAGAATGCTGCTGATAGACCTCGAGGTGACCTTCCAGGAATGAGATGCTGCTGATGGACCTTGAAATGACCTCCCAGAGATGGGAAGCTGCTTATGGACTTTGAGGTGTCCTCCTGGGCACAGGAAGCTGCTGCTAGACTTTGAAGTGTCCTCCCAGGGATGGGAAGCTGCTGTTGGAACTTGACGTGTCCTGCGGGGAATGGGATGCCACTGCTGAACCTCAAAGTGACCTCCTGGGACTGGGAGGTCACTGCTGGACCTTGAAGTGACCTTCTGGGGATGGGAAGCTGCTGTGGGCCTTCTACTCTCCTCCCCTCTACCTCTGCAACCTCTCCGACTCTCCTGCCCCCAGGGTGGAGGGAGCCCACCCTACCCACACTTGGGGGGCTCCTTGTTTCCACCCTACCCACACTTGGGGGGCTCCATCATGCTCCTTGCCATGATGGAGCAGGTGGGATGCCAGGAGTGGGTCCCTGTTCTGGAGAATGCCAATAGATGCTGTAGAAACCAGAATGCTGAATGTGGATTCCTTGGGGGGCTCTGGGAGGGTCCTGCTGGGCCTGGTGGTGAGGGGCACCAGGAATGGCAGTGGGGGTGTCCCGGTGGGATGGGATGGGGTGAGGGAAGAGTGAGAATGGAGCACAGGGTGGGGCTGTCATCTGGTGCTGGGGGGCTGCAGCTGCAGTCCCAGTCTGAGATGGGGATGGGATGGGATGGGATGGGATGGGATGGGATGG